ACAGCAGACCACAAAGAAGTAGAGATGCTAACAAATATAAGAGAAGATGTTAAAATATGGGTGGAAGGGCCGCGGAAGTCATCCACCAGAGAAGAGATGTAGAGAAGACGAGCACAGCGGTCATCTTCTGTTGAAAAGATGGGCAAAATGACTTCTACTAATGAGTAAATGTGGCCAAAGGACATCTACGGAAAGTAGATGGACTCAGAGACCATTTCCTTTGGAGTAGATTTACTCAGCTCATGTACAGCAGAGTGGATGAACCCAGAGGTAATCTACAATAGAGTACATGGACTCAGAACTCATCTATTGATGGCACCCACAGTGGAGTGGACCGACTACGCCGTTGACGACAAAGGAGAAGTCATCTCCGAATAAGTAGATAGTTTCCGAGATGATTTACTGCAGAGTAGGACGTTTGGCATTCATTTACTACAGAGTAGATGGGCCCAGATAACATTTCCATGAATTCCGAGGTACTCCACTGGAGAGTAGATTATCTCAGAGGTCCTTCATTGGAGAGTAGATTATCTCAGAGGTCCTCCATTGACAAGTAGATGACCTTAGCGGTCCTCTACTGGAGACTATATGATTTCAGACGACCTCAGAGGTCCTCTACAGAAGAGTAGATGACATCAGAGATTCTCTACAGAAGATTGGATGACCTCAGGGGTCCTCTACAGAAGAGTGGATGACCTCAGGAGTCCTCTACAGAAAAGTAGATGACCTCAGAAATCCTCTACGGAAGAGTAGATGAAGATCCTCTTCGGAAGAATAGATGACCTCAGGGGTCCTCTACAGAAGAGTAGATGACCTTAGAGGTCCTCTACAGAAGCGTAGATCTTTAAGTAGAGGACATCAAAGGTCCTCCACAAAAAAGTAGATGGTCTCCGTAGATATGTCCTCGAAGTTTATGGCCGCAGGTGCCATAAAATGTGAAATAGATGTCCTTAAGGGTCATTCATTGGGGAATATGTGGCCTCATTTATTGGGGAAAATATGGCCTCAAGGGTCATCTACTGGAAAGTACATGGCTTCCGGAGTCATATAATATGAATTACATCTCCTCAAGGGTCATTTACAGGAAAATAGATTGCCTTCGGAGTTATTTACCTCACTTACCAGTCGTCAAGGGTCTCATGACCCCATAGGTCCCCCATTGGTAAGTGGATGGCTTCTTAGATCATCTATGGCGGTGTAGATGGTATCAGAGTTTCCCATCCTTGATGCAGATGTCTTCATAGATCATCAATTGTAGAGTCTACGTTCAGAATTCATCTACTGAGAAGTATAAGGCTTCAGCAGCCACCTCAAGAGAAGAAGATGGCTTTAAGAGCTATATATAAGGAAGTAGATGGCCTCGGGGGTTATATCCCGAAAAGTAGATGCCCTTATGAGTCATCTACTGGAAAGTAGATGGCTTCAGGTGTCATAAACTGTAGGTCATTCATTGGTAAGTGGTCATTCATTGGTAAGTGGATGGCTTCTTAGATCACCTATAGCCGTGTAGATGGTATCAGAGTTCCCCATCCTTGACGCAGATGTCTACATAGATTATTAATTGTAGGGAAGACGTTCTTAGGGATACTGTCAACAAGGGGGCCCTTAATTTCAATGCCTTGGAGGATCAACACCTATGAGAACCACAATCTACCAAATAGATGGTTCTCAGCATAAGCTGTCATGGGCCATTTGGCTCCTTAATTCCTTTCCCCCTCCCTATCCCCTTGTCGACTCCACTCTCCTCCACCAGTCTGCCTTTGGACTTTCCCACTTTGTTGTTGTATTGCACAAAAGTTTATGAACTCACGTTGTTGTTACATTTTCTGTTGTCCCTTTTGAACCAACTTCCTTTTGTTGTTTCATTTTTTTATTTTGCGAATTAAATGCAAATTGTCTATGACACTATTGTCAGGAGGCTATTTTCATGGCGCAAAAAAATGCAACAACAAAAACTATGGAAATTTCCCGACATTGTCAAGCAACAAAACGAAGCGGAACACAAAAATACAAGACAACCTCAAACCCATTCTTTTGTGTGTGTGTTTTTTTTTTGTCTCTCCCTGTTTTCCATTCTCTCTGGTCTTTTATTTATGCGGAGAGGTCTGACTTTAAGTTTGGAGGACATTGTTCAGTGACACGGTGGGTCCGTCTGGTGGGGTTGGTTGTCTGAACACCTTTCAAATAAAAAAAATGCTATCAGGGATAACAAAAAGCAAAATTCAAGACTTGGTAAATGTTTAAACAACGGAAGAGCGACAACATTAAATGACAGGGCAATGGAAAACTACCAACAAAAGTTCAGTCCCGACATAATTCCAAAAATTGGATGCGACTTCGCCTTGGAGTTGGGAAATAGGGGTTGGCTGGTTTGCCAGACAAATTACATGGCTAAAAGAGGTGTTTTTGGTGTTCCCAAAATAATAGGAGGAAGAATAAAAGAAAATAAATTAAATATAGCATGAGTATGTCGCACACTCACACACCCTTTCGACTTCCATATGTTGCAAGACCTCGTTAGTGTTTCCATTATTTCTGTCTCGCCTGCCTGTATCACTTCTCCTTCCCCTCTCTTGCATCTTGCGCCCACATCATTTACTTCAATGCTTCGCCAAATTAAAAGCCTAAAGGTATGCAGGCAGTTCCAATTGTTATCCTGTTGTCAATGAATCGCCATTTTCCACGAAAATATAAAGCTGGCTGGTTTGCCTGTGTTGAATCTCCAAACACACAACTCCAAGGTGATGATGTTAAGGAGCTGAGAGAAAAAGGTGAGGAAAATGAGAAGGTTTTTGCTCCCCCTGGCATGACAAAAAATTCCAGGCAAAATAAGCCATTCTTATTCTTAACCTGACAGAGACAGAATAATCCCGAAAGAACGTTTTTTTTCGTGACACAAAGTGAAAAACCACTAACTGTCTTGACGTACAGCAGACCACAAAGAAGTAGAGATGCAAAAAAATATAAGAGAAGATGTTAAAATATGGGTGGAAGGCCCGCGGAAGTCTTCCACGAAAGAAAAGATGTAGAGAAGATGAGCTCAGAGGTCATCTATTGTTGAGTAGATGGGCTAAAAGGGCATCTACTGATGAGTAGATGGACTCAGAGACCATTTCCTGTAGGGTAGCTGCGCTCAGAGCTCATCAACCGTAGAGAGGATGAACTCAGAGGTCAGCAACAATAGAGCAGATGGGCTCAGAACTCATCTATTGATGTCACTCCCAGTAGAGAGAAAGGACTACACCGTCCACAGCAAAGGAGAGGTCATCTACGATTAAGTAGATAGGTTCCGAGATGATTTACTGCAGAGTAGGAAGTTTGGCATTCATTTACTACAGAGTAGATGGATCCAGATAACATATCCATGAATTCAAAAGTCCTGCACTGGAGAGTAAATGACATGAGAGGTCCTCAATTGGAGAGTCCACGGTAGAGAAGATGAACTCAGAGATTTCCTTCAGAAGAATAGATAACCTCAGGGGTCTTTTACAGAAGAGTAAGTGACCTCAAAGGTCCTCTACGGAAGAGTAAATAACCTCAAAGGTCCTCGACAGAAGAGTAGATGGCCTCAGAAATCCTCTACAGAAGAATTGATGAACTCAGAGGTTCTTTATCGTAAATAATATGATCTCAGAGGTCCTCTACTGAAGTGAAGATGACCTCAGAGGTCCTCTACTGAAGTGTAGATGACCTCAGAAGTCCTCTACAGAAAAGTAGATGACCTCAGAAGTCCTCCACCGTAAATTAGATGATTTCAGAGGTCCTCTACTGAAGAGTAGATGACCTCAAAGGTCCTTTACAGAAGAATAGATGACCTCAGAGGTCCTCTACTGAAGAGTTGATGACCTCAGAGGATCTCTACTGTAGAGTAAATTATCTTAAAGGTTCTCTACTGTAGACTAAATGATCTCAAAGGTCCTCTACTGAAGAGTTGATGACCCTAGAGGTCCCCTAAAAAAGAATGTATGACCTCATACGTCCTCTACAAAGGTGAAGACGACCTCATAGGTCCTCTACGGGAAAGTAGATGACCTCAGAGGTCCTCTACGGGAAAGTAAATGACCTCAGAGGTCCTCTACTGTTGAGTAGATGACCTCAAAGGCCCTCTACAGGAGAGTGGATGACCTCAGAGGTCCTCTACAGAAGAGTAGATGATCTCCGAGGTCCTCTACAGAAGCGTAGATCATTGACTAGAGGACCTCAGAGGTCTTCTACAGAACAGTAGATGGTCTGCGAGGTCTTCGAATGTAGAGTAGATGACCTAAAATGCCCTTTATTCTAGAAAAGATGGTGTCAGAGGCCCTCTACTGTAGAGTATATAACCTCAGAGGTCTTCTATTTTAGGGAAGACGAGCTCGGAAATCGTCTACTACTGAGTAGACGACCTCTTAGGTCCTCTAGTGGAGAGTAGATGGTATAATGGAATGGATAATAGAATTAGAGGCAATCTACTGTAGAGTAGATGGTATAAGAGTTAATCTACTGAAGAGTAGATGGTCTCAGAGGCCTCTAATATCAAGTAGAAGACATCTGAGGTCATCTTTTATGTTTTCTACGAAATACGATAAATTCTGAGACCTTCTTAATTTAATTTATTTTTAATATATTTTTACGACAACAATCATACGCCCTTTGTGTTACATAATTCCAACAATCATACGCTCCCCAATTTTACTAATTTTATCTAAAGCATTTCAAGTTTATTTTTTTGGAAGTGTATAAGTTTACCTCACATGTTTTTTTATCTTCGAATAGGGTTGTGTACTGTTGGTGCTGTGTGTTTTCTCGATAATTTTGATGATCGAAGTCGTAAGGAGTTTTCAAATAGTAAAGTATAGTAGAGAGATACAGATAGAGTAGTGAAAATGTATTTTTGTGAATAAGAATTTTGTTTTTTTGTGGCAAAAGGAACAATAAATGAAAAAAATAACAACAAGTAAAAGAAAGACAAAAGAAGAAAGAAAGAAAGAATGTAGCTAAAAAAGGTGGCCTTTACATACCTGCAGTGGCGAGAGTGTAATCCCAGCTGGTTTCTGGTTCATTTTTGTAGACGTTCAATTTTTCCGGCTAAAGAAGAAGGGGAAAAAGATAACGATTAAAATAATAGTAAGGGTTAAGTTTGTAATCCAATAAATTAAAAAAGAAATATTTTCAAATTGAGATCGAAATTCTATGGAACTTTAAAAAAGTAAACTAGGGAGAAATTGAAATAAAAAATACTAAAAATAATTAATAATACTAAAAAAATAAAAATAAATAATACTAAAAAATACTCCTCAAATTTGCTAAGAAAATTGGTTTGGAGGGTGTATGACTGTTTTTAATGCGAATAATGGAGGGTGTAGGGTGACGTATGATTGACATCAACGATTATACGTCGTTTGTATAACTTCTGTTATTACTCATACGTCACCATTTACCTTCCGTTATTTTGAATAATAATAGTCATACGTCCTGGAGACCATATTACCAAATTTTAAAATTCTATGAATTATTTTAATTTTTATTATAATTATTTTTATTTTATTTATTTATTAAGTAAATTAATATTTATTTTTTTTTATTTATTTATTTTATTTTTTTATTTTTTATTTTTTTTTTATTTTTTTTTTTATTTATTTTTTTTTATTTATTTATTTACTTTACTTTTTTATTTTATTTATTTATTTATTTTATTTTATTTTGTGACCCACTCACCTTGGCAAAATCAATTTTCAAAGTACAACATCCCGAATAGATATCAGCTCCATTTAAATTCTCTCTGGCTCTGGTTGCCGATTCCAAGCTGTCGAATTCCACCATGGCCTGGACGCCATTCTTTTTGAATATGACAATGCGCATTACCTGGCCGTGTGGGACACATATTTTATGCAAGACATCCTGCAATTAAACAAAGGGGAGAGAGAAACAAATTTAATTTCAGTCGAAAGCAAAAAATAAAAACTAAAAATTATTTAAGGCTAATTGTCAGGCCTAGACCTCAAAAAAATAAACAGCCAGGTTATGCCAAGTACTATGGCTGGCAAATTAATTATTGGTTTTTTAAGCACCCATGGAGAACATGACTTGATTGGTTTTGGCACCAAAAATACTTCGTTTTTTATTGAAAAACCATTTGCATGGAAATGACCACAAATACCTACCTGACGTCTAATGCCAAAATCACCCAGACTTTGGCTGAAATTGCCAAGAAGAGAAAAAAAACGACATGCTGATGACCCCCAACAACACCATATCATGCCAGGCATTCACTTTGGAAATCAAGTGCAAGGCGAAGAAGTAAATGTTTTCATTACTCACATGAAAGGATTTCGAGGAAATGTATAAAAAAAAATCTGCTGATGTTATGACCCACCAGCAGCTCAGCCTTCAAGAAATTACATGTCTTTTTTGTCCGAAACCAAAAAAAAATGACTATTGTCATGTCCTGAAAGAAGGATTTTTTCCCAACCGAAAACAATAGCCGTCATCAACTTTAAAAGCTTTTTGCGTTGCCTTCCGAAAAAAGAAAGGTGTTAAAGGACTTGCCTTTCAAGGATATGTTTTCCTCAATAGCAGGTGTTAGTGTATCATTCCAGGCAAAATATTTGTAATTCATTGATGGTAGGTAGACACAATAAACAAATGATTCTGGTATATCCTGCCAGCAGCATGTCGTTCTAGTACCTGGGGTTTACTGACTGGCATCCAACTAAATTTGAGGGGAATTAATGTTGTACATCTCCCAGGCAGGATATGGGGGAAAATGCCCATTTTGCTGTAGGCGAAGGCTGAAGACCATCAATAACAATGTTTTGTACGCCGAGGCGATCAACATTCATTCCTATGGCACCTGGGCAACAATAGCCCATAGAGGTAGGTTTGATATTTGAGAGAAATGTTACACCAAAGGAAAAACATCTGATGGAGGTGATTTTCAAGGAAGAAATTTTTCAGGATACAAATATTTTCCAAAAACCTTTATAGGAAAGCAATCATTTGAAAATAATTGAAGTTCCTTTCAAAATTTTGAAGAATTTTAGTCGAACTCTTATTGTTTGTCCACATGAGCCTCCCTGTCGTATGAGCATTGTCAACACGCATACGCATCGAAATGTTTATACCCTCAGCCATATCGCTATAAAGGGTATATTACATTTGATACGGCCAAAACGTGCTCCATCGAAATAATTGTTTTAAATCTTAGGTCTCTTTGGACCACAACATTCGTTTCGGGACATTTGGAGTCGATGTAGCGCTGTCCGAACGTTCGTCTCTCCGTCTGTCTGCCTGACTTGGTACATCGTATTTTTACTACCAAACTTAGATTGAGCTCGCGGATGAGTCATATCAGTCCACTCCTTCCGGTACCTCCCCCACAAAAAGTCGAAATCTTCAAGGAAAATACTTTACTGCACAGAAAAAGAAAGGATCATCCGATTTTGCTCTAACTTTGTAAATCCTAATATTTGCACCAGTGCTAGGTCGGGTGCAAAAATGGACAACATCCGTTCACTCCATCAAGTACCTCCTCCACAAAGGGTCAACATTTTTGAATAATTATAACTCTTATAAAATGTGATGTAAGATTCCGATTGTCTTCAAATTTCACACATCACAAAATTTCTATTAACCCAAGGTCTGGTGTAAATATGGGATATATCGGTCCACTCCATCGAGTACCTCCCCCACAAAGGGTCGAAGTTTTGAACAACAAAAACTATTATAAAACCCGAAATAAATATCCGATTCTCTTCACAGATCCCATTACTTCTACTAAAACAAGATCTACTGTGAAAATGGAATATATCGATCCACTCCTTCTGGTACCTACCTCACAAAGGGTCAAAATTTTGAATATACACGAAGCTCTTAAAATGCAAAAATTTACATCCGATTCCATTCAAACTTGGTATATCTCAATATTTCCATCAACACAAGATATGTCATAGAGATGCTAGAAATCGGACCATTCATTGTGGTACCTCCCCCACAAAGGGTTCAAGTTCTGAATAAAAAAACGATTATAAAATCCGAAATAAGTATCCGATTCTCTTCATATTTCACAGACCCTATTACCTCTACAAACACCAGACCTGCTGTGAAGATGGGATATATCGGTCCAGTCCTTCTGGTACCTCCCCCACAAATGTCAAAATTCCGAATATCCCTGAAGCTCATAAAACGCAAAATTAACTTCCGATTCCACTCGGTATATCTCAATATTTCCATCAACACAAGCTCTGTTATAAATATGGCAGAGATCGGACCATTCCTTGTGGTACCTCCTCCATATAGAGTTTAAGGTTTTAAATACCAAAAGGCTCAGAGAAAGCGGAGTAAGCATCCAGCTCTCTTCAAATTTCAGATACAACAACCCCGAACCCCTTCTGGTACTACCTCAGCCTCAAAGGGTCATAATTTTCAATACTTATATCTGTCCTAACTTGCGAAACATGTAGACGTTGCTTTACAACTTGCTATATCTAAATATTTCTCTCAACCAAAAACCTGAGATGAATATGCCCATACCATAGCGGAACCTACCCCATAGAGGGTTAGCAAGTTGAATATATGTTGTCAACATATATTTAAATAATCGAGCATGGGCTGAGGGTATACATCTGTCGGCAAAACCGACTGATACTTTTTATCTTTACCCACTTGTGCCACCCTGTCGTATGAGTGCTGTCAACACGTATACGTCTCTATACCCTAGAAAAATATTTGTTGGGGGTATTATATGTTTGATTGAGCCAAAAAAAATTTGTAGCACCTCGATATTGCTCCTAGTCAATATTTTCCCTTGAAATCATCTAACATTTTTGCCTGAGTGTACTCAGTTAATTCCTTAAGACCATTAGAAAGGACTTACGCACACAACACAAGCTAAGCGCACGCAGACACACACACAACACCCATAAAGTGGGATGATAGCTTTCAGTTAATTGACATAATGACAAATACCCCCGGATTTAAGAGACTCAAAAATTTTCAAGAGGCCAAACTGTCCTCCAAACCTTAATGAAGAGGATGGTATTTGAATTTTCTTAAAGGACTCCACTAGAGGAACATTTAAAGAAAAATATTTAAAATTTCCTCTCAAATTTCCAACAAAGCCAAGCTGGTTTGTTTTAGGGCCTCCGCCTTTATTTAAGACTCAGAGACTCAAAATTTTCCAAGAAAACAAGCTGGCCCACCAAACCTTAATGAAGAGAATGGTATTTTAAATTTCTTAAAGGACTCTTTTAGAGGTACATTTAAAGAGAAATATTTAAAATTTCCTCTCAAATTTCCAACAAGGCCACAATAATTTATTTTAGGGCCTCCTTAGTTGCTGTTTGATTATTAGCCATCATTTGTTGGACTATCAGCGGCTATTATCTTCTTTCTTCAACAGTTTTGAGTAGCATTATCATCAAGGATATCCATTGAAATGACTATTTATCTATTCATTCAGCCCATTCATTGTTTTAAATGAGTTTTCCCCTCTTTTTTCGTTTCCTTCCAACCACGACAGCGGCAACATTTAATGGGCCAAAGATAGACGATTTCATAATTTCCAGAGTTGGCATTTTGTCAAAAACCGAAAAATATCGTAAAAAACAAAAATAAACAAAAGCTAAAACGTTTCAATGTTAGGTCATAGTAATAGGGGAGGATCAGAAGAAGGATGAGGAGAAAAGGGGGGACGGAGAAGGATAACAAATATTTCGAGGAAAGTAATAATAAAACAAATAGCTGTGATAATGGCCCAAACATAAACACTTAAAACCCAAAAATATCCTTTTAACACATTTAAGGATATTTTGAGATGCTCGAACAACAATAGGAACAACAACTATGGCATACTAATGACTGCCGCAGAAAAAAAAATTGGATATTGAATTTGCTAGTGGTAGTAATAATAATAGAAATGTTAAGAGATTATACTACAACAAGGATAATGGCCTTCTAAGGACATCATAATGTGACTCAGAGATGTTTTCAAAATTAATAAAATTACCTTGGAACATCCAAAGGAAACAAAATAACAATTTTTTCTAAATATTTTGAATACCAAAGAGAGAAAAGAAACATGTCCTTCATGGAAACTTAGTTTCCGAACTTTTCCAGTCAGGTCACAAAAATAGCCATTTCAATTTATGTCAGTTATCATTTCAGTTTTATTATCTCCAGGATATGCGAGAAAGGACATCACATTTGTCAATTGATTATTTATGGTGTGTCACATACAAAAGGACAAGTAAAGACAAGGGTTGGACAGAAGTGAGCAACTGGATTAAAATAAAATGAATTGTTGAGAATATTTGACATGCAGGTAAGGCAGAGCTATTTTTGGGAATTATATGGAATTTTTACACAGACTTATATTAGTTTCAAGGACCTTTACTGAAATAATAATTTCAAAGATATTCAGAGCTATAATCGTGGAGTTAGGAGTATCTTTTCTATGACCCCCCCCCCCCCCCCCCCCCTAACCAAGAACTAATAGAAACACAAATGTGTATTTTCTAAAAATTCTCCAGGATTCTCAGGATTAAAATCTATGGGTTTTAGGAACTTTTCGAAAGACTCCCCAAACCCAAAATCATGATTATTTACAAGAATTTTGATTATTTACAAGGGCTTTTTCCAAGAACCAGCACAGACTAAACCTTGGATTTTTAAGGAATCTTCTTCAAGAAAATAGAAGGAATTGTAAGAAATTTTCTCAGGGACTGTTAGAACAAAATTCATAGTTTTTTTAGAGAATTTTTCGAAAAATTTTCGAAACGACAGAAAAGTAAAAGCGTGGATTTTTAAGGAATTTTGTCCGGTTATCATCGTTTATTTTCGAAGAATATTCTTAAGGGTCTGGAAGGATTTTAAGGATTTTTGGAGATATTTTCTCGAGGTCCAGCAGTGACCAAATGGTAGACTTTTAAAGGACTTTTTTCAAGGGCCTGCATTGAAGGTCCCTTCAAGGAATTTTGCACAAGGACTTTGATTTACAATAGAGGAATTTTACAGAATTTTTAAAACGATCAGCTGTAGAGAACATATCGTGGATTTTGTAAGG